GCTGCTTGGCCTGCTGTGTTCATCCAGCCCTGCACCTTGTTGTCAAGGTAGATCAAATATTGGCTTTGTGACAGGAGGCAGGGTTCTGGTAAAGCTATTTGTGTGACTGGGTCCAGTGTGCAGTGGTGTACCTCAGGGATCAGTCCTCAGTTGTCTGTGATATCCATAAATGATGGAGATGAGAATGTCGAGAGGATAAGTAAGTTTGTGGATGACACGAAGATTGACCGAGTGGTTGACGGTGAGCGGGAGGGTATTAGGTTACAGGAGGATATAAATAGATTGAACAGATGGGCAGATCAGAGGCAGATGGAATTTAACCCTGATAAGTGTGAGGTGATGCACTTTGGAAGAAGGAACAAGACAAGAGAGAATCAATAGGAAGCTCAGGAACAGAGCGATCTTGGGGTGCTTGTCCGCAGAGCCCTGAAAGTTGCATGACAAGCGAATAAGGTAGTTAAGAAAGGCTCCAGGATGCTTGCCTTTATCAGACGTGGCATAGATTGTAAGAGCAGGGAAGTCATGTTCGAGCTGTACAGGACTTTGGTTAGGTGAAAGTGGATACTGTTCTAGTCACCACACTATAGGAAGGATGCGATTTCATCAGAGCGAATGCAAAGGAGATCACCAGGATGTTGCCTGGGATGGAGCTTTTCTGTTGTGAAGAGTGGCTGGATAAGCTCAGGTTGTTTACTTTGAAGCAGAGAAGGCTGAGGGGGTGAACAGATAGAGCTGCAGAAGACTGAATAGACAGGGTGAATTGAAAGCCGCTGTTCTCCTTAGTTGAAGGGTCAACAACAAGAGGGCATAATTTTAAAGTGAAGGGCAGGAGGTTTAGAAGGGATTTGAGGAAAACTGTCTTCACCCAGAGAGTGGTGGGAATCTGGAATGCATTGCCTGGGTGGGAAACCTCAGCCTTTATAAAGTACTTGGATAAGCACTTGAAATATCATAACTTTCAAGGCTATGGGCCTAGTACGGGAAAGTGGGACTAGTGTAGGTAGTAGCATATTTTTAATAGTGCAGACTCAACAGACCAAAATGCCTCTTCTGTACTGATTCTGTGATTGGCAATATCCTCAGTGAGTTGAGTTCAGTAATTGACTCAGTTTAAGTATTCTGTCACTTCACAGAAACTAAACCATTTAAAATCTAGAATGAACTGGAACTTCTCAGGGTGTACTGTTTTGCTAACCCATTGAAATTGCATAATATTGTGGTCAGTGTTTGCTGCCCCAACTGATATTGATATTGACTAGCCTCCAAATACAGATCTATCTGTTACGACGCCTGGTTGCTTTGTTAATGAAATAAACTATCTTGACTAATTTCTACAAGTTTGTGGGTGTTGGAAGGCCATCCAGGGGAGTATTTGAATAGTTGTGCAGAAGTACCGAATACATGTGTGGAATTTTGTGAATTTGTGGAAATTTTGACTCATCCAGGACTGAATTTTGGCAAACATCCTGGTGTCAAAGAGAATGGAAAAGTCGAGAGAGATGGTAGTGCGTCTGAATTGGGTAATGTGGAACCTGACTTCAGTTGTAGGTAGACGTGATTTGTAATTTTGATTGCAAGTATTTCCGCGCTGTAGCAGGGGGTAAGAAACCTGGTTGGAGAGGTCCAAACATTGTCAATGTGGAAAAAAGTGAGCATGAGTTTGGGAGGCAGCTGTTAAGGTTTTGGAGATGGGGCAGTGTAGAAGGATGGAGACAGTGTTGGTTGAAGCTGTAGGGTGATGTTTACTAAGAATTGAAAGGAAGAGAGATGCCATTGTATGGAGGAAGCTACTTAGGGGCCAGCCAGTAGGGGCAGTTTCCAAATGTAGCTTCATTTCATTTGGACTGCTGATAGATTATTTTCTCGTCAAATTTGTATTTTATGGCAGTTAGAATGACTTTAGAATAGTAGAATGAACATTAATGAAGATTCGATAGCAGTATTGCCTGAGAAATTATGCCTACTTCTTGAGGACCTTATTGGTAGACCCAATCGTAGATGGAAGTAGGAGAAAGCAGTCATTACAATGGCTGGATTGAGAAAATGACAGTGAGTCATGTATGTTGGAAAGGAATACAACAGTAAGGTGGCTGCCTGTGGTAATTGCACATGTTTTACAGGAGGACTGTGATGTAAATAGTGGTGGGTGGCAGCGAGGTCTTACCTTGTGTATGCTTTTCATGTGGTGCAACATCAGTAATAGCATTTCCTACATTCCAACAAGTGGCTACAACTCAAAAAATACCTCCTTCATTGACCACAAAGCACTTTTGGAAGATCCTAAGGGCATGAAAGGTACTATGTGGTCTGCCTATTTATATGTTTGCTTCCCTTAACTTTATCCCTTCCTCTTGTGAAGGCACTGCCGTCTGCCAGAAAGTAGATACTACAATTTATCCATCAGTCATCTCGGGCAAGATCAAGGTCAAAAGAGCCTAGAATAGCTTGTACCAGGTGAACCAAGATCTGTTTAAAACAGATGAGGTGGCTTGGAGGGGAACTTGCAGCTGAAGTTTTCTTATGTATCTGCTACCCTTATCCTCCTAGATGGTAGAGGCCATGAGTTGGGAAGGTGCTTTTTTTAAAAAAAACCCTTGATGAGTCACGGCAGTGCATCTTGTAGATGGTACACACTGTTGCCAATCCGTATCAGCTGTGGAGGGAATGAATGTTTGAGATGGTGGATGGATTATGCTCATTATGCAGATTGTGCAGTCCTGCATACTCAAACTGCACTTGTCAAGCGAAAGTATTCAGTCAGTGGGCTTGTCAATAGTGCACAGGCTTTGGAGAGTCGGGGGATGAGTTACTTGACATGGATTCCTTAGCTTCTGACCTCCTCTTGTAGCCATAGAATTCATATGGCCAGACCAGTTGAGTTTTCTAATTGATGATAACACCCCAGGCTGATGATAGTGGGGGATTTGATGATGGTGAAGGCATTGAATGACAAGCAGACGTAGTTAGATTCTCTGTTGTTAGAGATGGCCATTGTCTACCTGTTTTGTCAGGTGAGTATTACTTGCTGCTTATTAGTCACAGCCTGGATATTGTCTGGCTCTTCAGATTCTGGAAAGTCACACATGGTAATTTTTTTATTTGTTCGTGGGATATGGGTGTTGCTGCCTGGGACATTTGTTGCCCATCCCTGGTTGCCCTTGAACATTGTGTAATCACAAGTAAGCACCCCCACTTCTGACCTTTATAGTGGGGGCAGGGAGGGCCTTTGATAAAGCAGTTGAAACTAGTTGCACCTAGGACATTACCCTGAGAAACTCCTACAGCAATGTGCTTTGACACAGATGATTGATCCAGCAACCACCATCATCTTCCTCATGGTAAAGTGCAACTCTAACCAGTGAACAGTTTTCCCTGGATTCTAGTTTTGCTGGAGCCCTTTGCCACACATACTCAGTTGAGGCTTTGATGTTAAGGATCGTCACTCTCCCCTCGCTTCTTGACTTGAAACAAGACCCGGCTTCTGATTCAATGAAATTATTCAAGTAAATTGGGCCATGACAATATAGTTAAGAGAAATAGAATTTACTTTTCATGTCAAGTAACTGTCATCAGAATATTGGAGTAAATGGTCTTTGACCTGTGACATTATCTCAGTTTTCAACCCAATATTACAGTATTTTAAATTGACTGAAGTGTGCTTTTGAGGCCATGGAGGTTGCTACTTAAATGCAAGTCTGCCTTCCACAGATGTTGCCTGGTTTTGAGCATTTACTAGTATTTTCTGTTTTCATTTAATGATCACAACATCTGCAGTGCATCAATTTTGTTGTGAAATATGATTTAGTCTTGTGGACAGTGCCCTACATGAATGAGTTAAGTGTGGGTCCGTGATCAAATTTTGCAATTTTCTAGATAACTGTTTCCAATGATTGTGTGTTTTGGTGGAACAAATTTGAAACTTTGAACTATTTTACTTCGTTCATTTTTGGAGTGTTTGATTTAGCGTTTACCTTTTTCTTTTTTTTTCTTTTGTAGGACGTATGATATGTGACTTTGTTTGCTCAAACCAGGAGGAAGTGGATCTTGCTGTGCAAAGTGCTAAAGAAGCATATAGAAGCTGGAGTCGACTGTCTGGGTCAGAAAGAGGCCGCATCTTACTTGAGGCTGCAAGACTCATAAGAGTAAGAGGGATATATCTGGCTTTCTGACTGAATGACTGAAATACGAACAACTTGAACTTCCATTAACTTGAACTGTTGGGGAAGGTTTTGCAGGAGTTTGTCAAATGGAATTTGACAGTGGACACATAAGGAGATATTAAGACAGGTGCCTGAAAGCTAAGTCAAAGAGGAGGGTTTTAAGGTGTGTCTTTGAAGTGAAGAGAATGGTGGATATGCAGAAAGGATTAAGGTGGGAAATCCAGAGTTTAGTGCTGAGATGACTGAGACTGGGGACATCACTGGAAAGCTGAAGGAAGTTGGGTATGTGCTATATGTATACAACACCTGAGCTATCTGAAAGTTGTAAGACCGGCACAGTTTGAGTGGGAAGAGCGTGGGGTTCTGGTTTGGAATCAGTTATTTTCTATTCTTTAAGCGGTTCAAATTGCTCCCGGACCCCTGGTTCTGGACACTGGACTTATTTAGGGAATATGAAATGAAGAGGCACATGTTTCAGGGCAAAAGAATCTCTGCAGTTATTTAAAATACAAAAGGCAATTATAATATGAGAAAATAGGTGATGCAATGAATCAAGTAATCTTTACACAGGAGAACAGTAGTACTTTAAATACTCTAGTGACTAGATAACCACATATGAACACTCCTACTGACACCAGGAAACAAGAGTGTTTAATTTTAGACTTTTTAATCAGAATTCCTATATTTGGGGATCCCAATGCACTAGTACCACCCGCCTTCCCCTCCCTGCTAGCTAGGTCACAACTTTGGGGTCTCGGGAGTTTATGCTCACCACTCAGAACACGATTTTGAAGTGTACCTGGTTCCTGAGTTCTTTGCCATCAGGTTCTTTGGTTCGGAACAGGCCCCGATCTGGAAGCTTTTGTTCAGATAACACTTGGTTGGACACCCCCCACCCCCCTCTGATGTCCTTTGTTCTGATGATGGTCTTGGCTCTGCTTCCTGATTCCACTTCTCTTGGGTCTTGCTTCAGAAACTGCTTGTCAGGGGTGGAAGCTTGTGGGGAAGCTGTTTATGCAGAAGCTCGTTGTTACATTTGAGTGAGATCAAGGCTGGCAGTTATACTGACTGCGTGAACCGTTATCTCTCCTCAAATCTGTAATATTAACTGAGCTCTTGATGTTCCGTTCTGAATTTTAATTGGCTCTCTGATGGTTGGAGTATGGGTTTTGATCGAGGTTGACTGTTCGGTATCTCTGCAGGCTCCATACTGTCTGCACTGTGTAGCCCAGAATGTAAAAGCTGTCTCAGGCTAGATTTTCTAAAGAAGGGTCCCGACCCGAAACGTCAGCTTTCCAGCTCCTGTGATGCTGCCTGGCCTGCTGTGTTCCTCCAGCTCCACACTAAGATAACTCCAGCATCTGCTGTCCTTACTATCTCAGGCTAGAGTCTGTTGGTTTCAGTCAATCGTTCTTTTAGAGAGGAGGTGTAAATTGGGATTTCAGGCAGAACAATACTCTCAGCCAGCATATCTCCATTCCCAGCTCTGCTGCTTGTGTATTTCCCGCAGACTCATTTCAGCTTTCATTTTTGGTTTTAAAAGTTTTGAAAGTCCAAGACTCTTGTCCAAAATCCAGGGTTTTGTCCATAAGTTTTAATATTGGGGATTTTTGTGTGATCTTACAGGAGAGAGGCCATGAAGGGATTTGAACAGTCAGGGAAAATTAGTGTTTTAACTTTACTGGCCAGGAGCTAAGGTAGGTCAGCAAACAAGGGGGCAATGGCTGAGCGAGAATTACTGTGATTTAAAATACGGGCCGGAGAATTTTGGGTGAGTTTCAAGTTCAGAGGTTGGTAAATGGGGGGAGGTCTGTCAGGAGAGCATTGGATAGTCGAGTCTTAAAGTAGCACAAGTTTGGATAATAAGTCTGCAAATTGGTAACTTGGCGGCACGGTGGCTCAGTGGTTAGCACTGCTGCCTCACAGCACCAGGGGCCTGGGTTCAATTCCCCCTCGGGCAACTGTCTGTGTGGAGTTTGCATATTCTCCCCGTGTCTGCGTGGGTTTCCTCAAAGTGCTCTGGTTTCCTCCCACGGTACAAAGATGTGCAGGCTAGGTGGATTAGCTATGCTAACTTGCCCGTAGCGTTCAGGGATGTGTGGGTTTGGGGAATGGATCTGGGTGGGATGCTCCGAGGGTCGGTGTGGGCTTGTTGGGCGAAGGGCCCGTTCCCTCACTGTAGGGATTCTATGGGGGGGGAAAAAAGTGCTGGAGGATTGTTTGCTTGATCATAATCCTAGGAGGGTGCTTTTTAATTCTAAATCAAGTAAGATGTGCATGAAGTTTTTACATGGTGTTAGAAATCAAGAGAGCTAGTATTATTTGTATTGAATGTCAGATGAGCATAGGTATGTATTCTTAAGAAGGAAAGCAGAGTTTAAGCTGCTATGTAGGGAAATATGAGTTGGGGTGAGAAACGTTTTTGTTTTGTTGAGGTATTTCTTTTGGTTGTTGGTTTTCAGTTTGGTTCCCTTCATTTACTGCCACTTCATGAAGGCACTGACTCCAAGTTAAAGTTCCACAGAGATCCAGTCAGTTGATACCATCATCATTGATTGTCCTTCCATTCGAGGATGATATCTACTCGAGGTTGCAGGCTTCTGCCTTGATTCTTCACGTGACTGGACAGACCATTTCTCAACCTACAGGTCTGTGGCCACATGAAGCAGAAAGTCCCAGTAAGTGAATGGATCCCAAGTGCAGGGCTTGCATCCATTTCCTCTCTTTCTCTGCTGCCATTCTGCCTCATCATTCAGATGTTGTGATTCGAAGGATGATTTAGCTTGACAGGCAAGTTGTAGCCATTTTGAATGATTTGGTAGTGAATTCCTCCCAATCCTTGTCATCAATACCACTGAGTCTTGAGGAGAATTGTAGAGTGTCGTCTTTTTCCTTTGTGATTGTGTTGTTTTGAAAGTTGTTTCCTCAACTGTCCAGAGAGAGACCTTTCAGCCATTCGAACAGCGTTCACACCATCAAAGTTAATTTTGCAGGAGTTTTGCCTGAATGCTTGTGTTACTAAAGACAGTAGCGTTTTTTTTGACAGTCCCCTTCGAATCCAGAGGATGTGGTGGAAATGTTTCTAAAGGAATTTCTATCATTTTTGATGTGTCACCGATACACAGTCAAAATCTGTGCCACGCAGGAATGCAGTAACAATAACTACTCTGTACACCAGGCCTTTACTTGGCTTTTGGAAGTCCCTTTTTTTTTGTCAAGCATTTGCTGCTGTAGTGGATAGGTTGGTTTTCCTTCCTGAATAATGGCCTTTTGAGAGCTCAGGCTTTTTAGATGTGGGAGTTACTCACCCTACACCATAGTGTCTTTCAACGTGGAATGTTTAGCTGACTGGATTTGGGCTCCAATGACAACAAGGTGCAGGGCTGGATGAACACAGCAGGCCAAGCAGCATCATAGGAGCAGAGAGGCTGACGTTTCGGGCCTAGACCCTTCATCAGAAAAGGGGGAGGGGAAGGGGGTTTTGAAATAAATAGGGAGAGAGTGGGAGGCGGATAGAAGAGGGATAAAGGAGAGGATAGGTGGAGAGGAAACAAACAGGTCGAAGAGGCGGGGATGGGGCCAGGAAAGGTGAGTGTAGGTAGGGAGTTAGGAAGGGGATAGGTCAGTCCAGGGAGGACGGACAGGTCAAGGGGGCGGGATGAGGTTGGTCGGTAGGAG